CAACTCCTCCCACCCCAAGAATGCCTTTTTGTAGGCAATGTGTTATGCTCCCTTATGGTATTTTGTATATTTTCAACTGCTCCTTGGGGACTTGACACCAACAACTCCTACTTCAAGATGCTAGGTTTTTGGCATGTCAGACTGAAAATTTTCCAAAATACAAGTGTCTCACTATTTGCTAAATCAGCATCTCTCTAGGTGGCCTAAAGAGTCTGTGGAACTCCATGTTTATGCCTTAACATTATCAGGATGACGCAAGCTTACACTTCAACATATGTCACAGCACCACTGCAGGTTATCTCTGCTCCCTTACAAAGGCCTCACAGTGCTTTCTCTCTACTTCCCTCCAAACCTCAATTCCAGCTACAGTCTACACACGTGTATGCCCCATATTACGCAAAGCCTGGGAACAGAAGTGAATACTACGCTGCACGAATACTGCCAGTGGCTTCATTTGAAAGCATTACCTTGGAACAGGCATCTTCAGGGTAAGTTGGTTATATTGGATGCTCCATTTTCCAGGCTGGAACTTCTCCAGGAAACGCTGCGCGCTCTCCACTGTGCTCTAAAATGAGCATGTGAATGCATTACAGCAACCACCACTGCACAAACCATGCTGGCCAACGAAGGGACTCAGAACGGTTTTCCCCTCCCACCTGTCTCAGCTTGGGATTAACAGTTAAAGCATCTGCTAACAATTCAAAACGAGATTCTGCTTGCAGTTTTCTTAAAAAGTAAAGAACTCTACCGTATCTATCTACCCATCCATCTACCTATCTATTTTCCAGTATGCTGGATTTTTTTGGGTGTTCTGACCAGCAGGGTTTTTTAAGCAAAGCAAGAAACAGAGGGAGCTGGCTTATACTGTTACTCTCCTCCTTTTCATCTAATCACCCTACAGATAGTTTTAGAATTACAGTCAGAGCTTTCTAAGACAAGCCTGTTTCTCACTGTTTTGAGAGACCACACTCAAAACCAAACAAAACAATCCCCAAACCCCAGCCTAAACAAACTCTGTCCTAACATTTCCTTAAGGTCCCTCTTCTTCCTCAGTTACCTGAATCCAAATTGTTTGGTCTAGAATTTGGAAATCCTAACTAGACCTCTGTAAGAGGAAGAAGGAACCATCAGTTGCTTTGACAGTGTGCTGATGTCAGCAGCAACATACCCCAAAGGCAAACACAGAGGAGATGACCAGCAGTTTCACAGTCTGCCCACATACCTGCATTAACATGGCCACAGTCATAGGCCCAACGCCACCAGGAACTGGGGTGATGTAGGAAGCTTTTTCCTTTGCTGTACTGTATGCCACATCTCCTACAACTCTTTTTCCACTGGGCTTTGTGCTGTCTGGGTATTTAAGGAAAAAGTAAATTAAAACAACAGAGGAGGGAGACTGAAGCTGAAGTCTTTTCCTCTGTTGGAGTAAACAAAACAGAAGCTGAATACCCAAGAAGCTGTAAAGAAAGATAAAAAGTTAAAACAACATCACAAGTTGAAGCTGTTATCATCATACTTCCCTCGGAGAATGCCAACAGCTCATGCAACATATCTTCCCATTAAACACCATTTATCCTCAGCCAGATAGATCTCCCTTTCCTTGAGGATGCAAGTATTTCCTCAGTGGCACATGGCCCACAGGGCAGTCTGATTCATAGAACAGAATCATAGAATCATTCAGGTTGGAAAAGACCTTTGAGATGATCATGACTGAAACAACTGCAGGGGGATCAAAGCACAGACCAAGTCTTACATCTGTGCTATAATAAAACACAAATGGGACATACAATAGAGATGTCACCTGAACCATCCCCTCACAGCTCCTGCTGTATTGCTCTGACGGATTAGTACAGCTTCCAATTTGAAGGAGATATAAATGAATGGTCTAGAAGAAGTGAGAGAAGAAACATTGTTGGCTTGTTCTGAACACCCAGGTTTACATTTGCTCTGTTCCATTCTGGAGGACATCTAGGCCTTACTATTGAAGAAAATACCTGTCTTTACACACACTGAAGACAAAGTGCCAAGTGTTTCAATTACTCATTGCCATTCTAATGATGGACTCGTAAATACTGAAGTTCACAGAGATCAGAGGTTTGTCAAAACAAACGTCACAGGTGACTTAAGAGAGCTTCAGCAGAACAACGTCCTTTCTTTCTGGCAAAAAAAAAAAAGCTGTATCCTGCTGCACTACATGACCTGACAATTTAGAAGCAGATCTAGCACTTTCTGCTATGGTGACCTTTAAGCTCTTCTATAATGAAAGAAAAAGACAAAATGCATTAGTAAACTAGCAGAGTCATTTAAGGAACTCACTGATTATAGACACAGCATATTAAAAAAAAAAAAAAAAAGAAAATGTAAGTTTCTGCTGGAGTGGCAGATCTTAATTTCAGATATGAGGACTTTAGGGAACTTCTAAGCAGTGTGAAAAACTTGAAGATATACTTTAAGATTGTTACATTTAAATATTATATTGCACACAATAATTTTGTGTTTGAACAGAACACAATCAATAACTTTAACACACATTTGGTGAGGGGGAGAAGTGGAAGAGAAACCAAACTCCTGATTATGTTAAAACCAGAGAGGGAACAAAAGCAGCTCCTGTCAACACTAATTTTTAGCTGCATTGTTACTGACAATTAGCAGCTTGGATGTTTTGTTGTGTTTGTGTTTTAAGCCACACTTTTTTCTCCCTAAAGTTCAAAGCTTGAACATCACAGCTGTTAAACAGTGTTTCTACAGCCACTGTCAGCTTTGCTGCCTGAACTGCAGACCAATGTGACCTTCCAGCCTAGAGGCCAGTTTAACTAAAGTTGCAAAAGGCAAATAACATAACCATATTTTCTTCCAAGGATGCCAAGCAGGCTTACCAGCCACCCTGGCCAGGAAGACTCCAGGCCCAAGAATGAAGAAAACAAGCAGTGAACTAGGTACTCCAAACACAAACAGGGATTAGCACAAGCCAAACAAATCCCCAGCCCCTGCCTCTGCAGCCACACCTCGTGCTAAGCACTGCTGATCACAGCTTAGGAGCTATCCAACTACCTTCAAAATACTCTTTTGAAGGAAAGCTCACATACAACACTTTCCGCCTCTCCCCATAATTTCATGTTCTCAATATTCATCACCCCACTCTTAAGAAAACTGAATGAACTAGTTACAGGGAATATCAGTGACACTACAACCATTCCCAGTGCCTGTGTCTTCCTTGGTCCAGTAGGTTCTCTAGCCAGCTGGAACACAAGAGAGAGCATCCGAGGACTTTGAGATCAAAGAAGTGTACAACACATATGGAATGAACACGTATGATGATCTCCATATAGCTCTAGAGTTAGCTGCATGAGACACAGCCTTAGTGCAGCTTCTGGACCGGAGCTAATTCACAGTCCTACCTTCCCCAGACAAGGACTAGGAATATCCACATGACTTCCAAGCAGACTTGTGACAATGTGCATAAAACTGTAACACGTTTCTGTGGATATATGACACGCAAGACCATACACAACCCTCATCTATAAAACATGAGACTATGTGCTGCTTTTTCTGGACACCACTGGGAAAGGTGTTTCATGAGGGATCCAACACAATCTGATTTACAGGCCTCCGATGCCAGCTTGATTCCCAGTATACGAAGATATAAACAGAGCATCAAGTCAAGGCTTTCTGTATCTTTCTAGCTCCTCTGGTGTTTGAAGAGCATGGCACCAAGATCCACAGAGGCTGATCCTCCTTTGCTGCTCTCATATCCCACTGTTTGAGGTTCCCTGTTGGCTAGAGCTGCAAAATCCCATAGCAGAAGAGGACTTTGAACAGGATTGCTTCCTTCATCAGGACTTGGAGGGACACTCCAGAGAGTGTCATCTCTGGGAATATCCTCTGCCCGCACTGCTCTCCCTTCCTGTAGCAGAGCAACTTCTACAGGCCTGGAATAAGGCATTCAGAGTATTTGCTGGACTAGCCCTCCATCTGCAGCAGTGGGGAGAAAAGGACAAATACAATCCAGTTTGTAAAGGGAGTAAGACACACTTGTCTGCTCTAATAGGTGCTTCAGGAGATGCTCTCTTCCTCTCTGTCTACCTGGAAACCTGGAAGAAACTCTGTTCAGCTGCAGTACACATGAACATAAAGCCAGATGAGCCTAAACTGCCTATTCTAGCCTCCAAACTGGAAGCCTTAGGAGTATATAGGCCACCCTCCATTCAAAGGTACAACAACTGCATTTGCATGGCACTACACGGCTATAACTTTTTTTTAACTCCAACTTGGCAAGCCTGCATGAAGTTAAAGTCCTGGTATGTCAAACCCTACCGGGATGTGCCTGTAACGGGCACCATGACTTGCAAAGTACAGGCATATCCAGAGCTGGCCATGGCCTCCGGCTGCAACCCACATCCACACCCAGGAGGCACTGAGCTGGGTGCACTTACAGGTATGCTAAGATGTATGGCAACTGTGCTATTTCTCCCCCCAGCACACTCAAAGCACCATTACAGCAAGCAGCAATATTCTATCTGTACAGCGATACAGCTGGAGAAGCTGGCAAGCTAGCTGCCATTCTTTCTGTAGCACTGCAATTCCCACAAGTCTGGCACCGATTTCCCAAAAGATTAATGTGAAAACTTTTTTACAACCTATCTGAAAGGACAAAAGAGGGAGGAAAACTCAGCAGCTTCAGAAAACCACAGGGAAAAAAAAAAAAAGTCTGTAGCATCCATCATTTTGAAATCTGACAATTTGCTCTGTCAAGCCCTGGTTACAGAGTCTCCCAATGCCATTAAGCGTATTGCCATGCAGCACTGACGAGGCTGGCTGTACAAGAAGCTCAGATCTCAGCGCACTGCCCAAGGCAGACTAATTGCAAAGGAACAGGGATGTGTCCTCAGAGATGCAGTTCACATCAAGCCTGAAAAAAAGGTCATACCATCATATGTCAGAAACACAATGGTAGTTTTATTTGCAACATGCTAGTGGTGGAGACTGCAAGCCATTCTGCTTCAGGCAAATCAGCAGTGACCCTGTGGGTTTTGGCAAATTGCCTAAGTTTGGGTAGCTTGCCACAAATACATCAAGCAACAAACAGCAACAGCATATGACTCTTTAATTTTAATTAGACAGAGGACCAACATTTTAAAATGCAACTCAGTGTCACCTTTGAGGATCTGCTGAACAGAAATTTCTTTACATTCCATTAAATAATGGCAACAAAATGACTGATTAATTATGAAAACTACCTTTTAAAAGCCTTGTGGGCGTAGCACATAGATAGCTGGATGGTGACTAATTTTCTGTATCATTCAATATCTGTAATTTGGATTTAAAATGAGATGAAAACAGAAATTGCCAGACTGTCTGTTCCTCCTTTGTAAGGAAGGAGTACCTAAGTGAAATCCTACCCTAAAATCCATTAAGTTAAAGCACTTTATTCTACACCAGAGCCACTGTCACCAATACTCTTGCAGAAGCTGCTTTGTTTCAAGACAATAGCCATTCAAGCCTAAGAAGTTAATGCTGTGATTCAGCAAATCCACAGCTACTTGAAGAGACTGCTGCCACTTATGTCTTTCAAACAGAACAGCATAATCAGACCTAGCTGCAAAGTAACGACAGCAAAGCTGCGTGCTCACAAGTGACAACAGCAGTGAGACTTCACTACATACTTGGGGCAAATTACATGGATATTCTATTGTACTATTTCCTAGGCCTCCTCTTCCCTCTACTAATCATCAGCCTCACTGAAGGCAGAAACAAAACTGCCACTGATCTGCTTTGGGACAGTACTTCAGACCAACTTTTTTTTTTTTCATTCTGGCATCTTCAGAGATTGCCATCATTACTTAAGACAGACTTAAAAGAGAAAGAAGTTCGCATTGACTAGAAACACCAAGGAAACAGTATCCATGTACTTACTTAGCAACTGCATTTATATACAAATAAACACATCTCCACTCTTTATACATTACCCACGCACCTGGCACATGGTTAATTCCACAGTCTATTACGATCGCACCAGGTTTGATCCATTCACCCTTTACCATTTCAGCTTTACCAGCTGCAACCACCAGGATATCAGCTCTACCAACCTATTAAAAAAAAAAAAAAAAAAAAAAAAAGCCAAACAAACAACCCTGTATCGTATTGGCAGAGGAAAAACACAGAGCTGCTTTTCAGCAGCAACTTAGATCAGCTTCAATTGTAGTGAAACTGTGTGCTCACCCATTGGCATTGGAGGGATGGAAGGGCATCGTCAGCAATTAAAGGTAGCTAGGAGTTTCTTGGCAAGGACAAATTCCTGCAGCCAGAAATTATGGCCTGTTTTCACACTCCTATCCTGAGCTGTTGCTAGTCAACACTTCACAACTTCCTTTGAACTCCTCCATGATTCCCAAGTGGAGCATACAGACTACTTTTAGGTAAAATTAAATCCTTCTGCATAATCTTATCTTCCTCCCTTCAAATATCCCTGCATATTCAGCTGCTCTTTTCAATACTAGAAATACATCCAGCACTCACAGACAGCAGACAAGAACAACCCCTGCACAGAACTCTAAATGGCACTTCACTTGTGGCAGCACTGTCTTGTGGTTTTTATGTCCAGGACTGTGTAACATGCAACTCCAGGGAAAGCTGATTGTAATTCAGCACTAATATTCGTTCAGACAGTACTCAGTAAATTTGACAGATCTGGTCACAAAGCTGGTGCTAGAGACCATCTAAAGCTTGTTGTCAGTTCTTGCACTGCTTCATTTATGTTTGCTTAGGAAGCTGCTATCCATTGGAATTTTTTCTTTTAATCTTCAAGGTAGATAAACCATTTTTAAGATTTCATTAAGAGTTAGCACTTCAATTGTTAATCAACGTAATGACAGTCTTATTGAACAGCAACTTAATGGCATGAAGCATTGCAGTGTTTCTGATCTTCTTTGTGAGTTGTATTCAAATACACCTACCCTCTCTTCAGCTTTAATACTTGCCTACAGAGCCTGGCAGTGTCGATTGCTCTATGAAGTCCAAGTAGGTGGCAGCACAGCAACACACTATTTCTGTCACTCTCCCAGCTAAAGAGGAAAATGGTACCAACTCCCCAGTCATAGAAAGTAGACTAGAAAAAAAACCTGGAGAAAACAGTTGGTCTAGCATTTCCCAGCCATTAAAGCAAAAGACCACCTGGCCTTTTTGGAAAAAACTACCAAAAACATATGGTGTTTTGCAGGCCACTACAGGGAGATTAGGAAGGGATGACTAAATTCTCAGCATTTGTCCAAAGAAAACAAAAATAATTTTATTGTTATAATTAAACCCCTTTAATTAAGGGCCAAAAATTAATTAAGGATCCTATTCAGTGGAAGTATTTACACAACCATGCAACAAACAGGACTGAGAAACTGTTTCAGACGAAAAACAACCCAGAC